AGGGCCTGTTGGAGTTCGCTGTTACAAAATTTCGACTCATATATCTCACTGTAATTTTGGAGTGGCGATAGAGTAGGCAGCGCTAAGGTACAGCGAATACAAGCCCTATCTGTTCGAATAATGTCTAGAAGACACTGTATTATTGCACTTTGCGCGTCTGGGCCTGGGGTGGTACGGGCCAGAGTTGGCCTGACCAGCGCAGTACGGTCAAGCAGCTGTGGTATGTAAAATTTACGCCGTAATCGAGAACAGCAGATTGATGAGGAAAGAAAAGTGTGCGGGGCGCAGCCCAGGAACGAGTTGACGCAGTGTAGTTGCTCTTGACATGGTATGCGCGCTATGCTTGTTCTCGCAGTCTTGATGTTTTTGTTGGTATGTGCTTTCGAATTTTTCCTGAGTGCTCTTTCTGTACCGCACTGTTCGATCGAATGCTGATTCTCATGTTGAGATTTCACCAGATGCTTTTGTGTGTTTTCATTGTACCTCTTCCTCTTGTAGCATTCATTTTATTCTGATTCCTGTGTATTTAGAGAAAAATGTTATTCTTCGGACAGTTATTCATGAAAATAAAGCCTCAACATCCTTGGGTCTTTTGCTTCACTTTGCCAGTGAGCTAAATTTATTTCAAACATTCAGCGGGAAACATAACTTCTCGCATACTTATATTGCGTGGTCTTATGACCTGTGTCTTTTGTGCACCTGATATGGCCGCATCGTGCTTCACCGTTCGGTGCACAGCGTGCTACCGTTGCATCATCCTCTTTAAATTCATTTTGCAACTGATGAGCTTCGTTCTGTTCAGATATAGGCCAAGGAATGATGACTTTATTTACAGAAGAGGAATAGCTGGATACGATTACTGTTATGGACTATGATCTGTCGCCCGAAGAATTCACTTTTTTTAAACTGGGTAACTCTTTTTGATATCATATCGCTGAAAAACTTCTTTCGAGTGAGTGTTTTTGTTTCTTTTTTATGGTACAACCAATGCTGACTGCTGTGGCCGTGTGATAAGAAGAAATCCCGGGGAATGTGACTCCTTGCCCTGTGCGATATAGCTGATTTGCCGACGCCAAACTCGTGAAGTCGAAATTTTTTAGAAGCGGGGATATGAGAAATGAAATTTCTAGTTGCATGAATATAGGACAAGTTTAAGAAATGGAGCGGTATCTAAACAAAATGGAGAATGAGCGGAATTGGGTTCCGGAAACTGCGACGGGTGCTTCATTCACGGGGCAGTCTGCTGTCACAAGTATGCCTTGATTCTTTTGTTAACCAAACTCGCTCATCCAAATATATTTTGCATTAGCGGATGATTAGAGTACAAGCTGCTGTCTAATTTAGGCATTTTAGGTAGCATGGATAGGAATAATGATGAGATTTTTCACATTGGGCAGCCTCACTGTTATCAGTCACGTGAGGATCTACGTTCATGTGGAACAACGGACATTAACGCATTTTCAACAGTAAGAACAGCGTTTTTCTTTTTTTTTTTTTTTTTTTTT